GGTGGGAAGGAAGGCTGAAGGGGGGGAAGAAAAAAAAAAAGAAAAGCGTGTTTTTTCCCCCCCCCCCCCCCCCCCCCCCCAAAAAAAACGTCCGGGTTGTGTCTCCAGCAGGCAGCAAACATCGACTGCGGGTCGACACTGTTGGAATTAACCGGAGAGGGGTGAGCTCGACATATGTATTTTTATTTTCTTCCTTTAAAACATGTCAGACGTGTAATTGTCAACAGTTGGGGGATGGGAACGGGCACATTTGTCTCACGCGCGTTACTGTGCCTAGGTGTTACTACAGTAGGGTGACTACCACAGCAGGCAGGACAGGTCCGGCCTAACTGGTAGAAGGCAGCCAGACTGAGTGGCTACACTGGGGGAGCGCACTACTGTAACGCGGTTAACCTATCCGTGCCAGTGCTACACACACGTCAGCACGCATTAGCACAGTTTACACTGTAAACTGTGAACCGGGGTGGCGTTGCCAGTCGCGAAATTGGCGAAAAGCCTCAAACCACAACGCCGTGACCTCCAGTCTGTGGTCACCCGAAGAAGAGAACACCCTCCCGGTAAACACAAATCACGCATCGACGCCTTTGAATACACCCCGTTTCGGCTAGCATCGGTGTGTGCTGATATTTACTGGTAAAGATACGATCTCGCACATGTTTCTATTCGCTTGGAATGTGGGCTAACTCAATGCCTGCGCTGTGAAGTGAGCATAGGTGGGTCTACACCGGTTATTGTACTGTAGCAGCATCTCTGTTAATGCGATGGCCACTCGGGGCAGATGGGATATCAATATTTGGCTACATGCGAGGCTGCAGTCCGTCTGTGTGTGTGGTTTATTATGCGATGCTAATGGCTTCACTTGCCTGCAAAAAAGGTAAAATGCGAATACATCAAGCAGGTTGATCTAATGGGAGGTTTTCTAATCCAACAGATTATCAGTGATATTCAAAAACGTGATCTGTTATTAGAACGGTCTGATCAAAATCAGGTTTGACTGAGATCGTCACAGGTTGCAGCTTGTGTGTGTGTGCGCGCGCGTGTGTGCATCTTGGTTGTGCTATCTGTCGAACATGTTCCTCTAGTCACTTTTGGTTTCTGCAGCTCCCAGACTGCACTGCACATTGCTAGCAAGGTTTTTTTAATTTTATTTCTTTAAATAACCTGCCAGGAGAACAGCAGTTGTCCTGCCGAAAGCACCCAGAAATGTGATTCCTGCACCCAAAGTATAAAGGTAGCCTTCAGAGATGTGATCATGAGTCCTGGCTGAAGCATGACGAGCCCGCATTCATATCTGGAGGTCTGATAGGTCGGTACTGAGAGATTTTTGGGCTTATTGAGTTGTGAATATTAGATCATTTTTAAGTTTCTCAGTAGTTGAACCACAGTACTAGCAGTATCAGTCCATGGATTTCTTTGTTGAATGCACTGCGTGACTCTTTGTATCCCACAGTTGTCTTCCATAACATGCCAAGTGTAGTCGATATTTTGATAACCCCGGTGGCCAGAACCCTGACGAAACAGAAACGACAGCATGCCACAGTTCAAACGGTCACGGGTGAGTGCAAAGACGGTTTCCTTTGAGGAAGAACCGGCCGCCCTCCCGTGTCTTTCCACTCCTTCGGATCATGTTCAGATCCTCCTCTGCAACATGTGATACTTCATTAGTCCTTATCCTTGTGCAAATATGTGTTTTGTGCTCGCACCTGACATAGCTGTTCAAATGAGGCTTGCTGTAAAGATTTACAAGCAGAGTTGATCATGTGCATCATGTGCATCATGTGCATCATGTATGAAGACATTATTGATATTCATTGTGCAGCAATGTGGCAGAAAAAAAAAAATCTTTTTCCTCTTCGTAGCTGTCCATATTGGTATACACCACTTTCAGTCACTACTGCTGTCACTACTGCTGTTGTGTCCGTTAGATTCCCTTCTTTAGTGGTTGATTCTGAACCTGAAAAATGAAGAACAATGAAGAACTGTGTGAGCTGCAAACACAAAATAAACAAATCTACAATCATGTCGGTACAGCTTCAAAAAGATACCACGCGTTGTGTATTGTAGGCCAAAGTTAGCATCATGCTGGTTCCCTGGACAAAGAGCCAATGGGATAGTCCCAATGGATTTTGGAATATTGCAGAAAATAAGCTCTGTGGCAAACACAAGTTTATGATACTAAGTTTTATTCAGTAAGAAAATCTTCTCGACTGAACCCCACTTTTAGTAATAAAAAGCTAAATGAACGAACGACGCGGTCTCATGAGCACGAGTATACACAACGAGGCTGTGAAGGCGGACTAGTTGGCGAGATGGCGTTTTGTAGTCTCCTTTAGCCACTTGTTAGCAACTGCTAACTATTGACGTACTTTATATCGTAGAGCAAAACTTGGAAATCTCCTGAGCTTGTGTTAACAAAATACCTTATTTCAGCAATCTAACTAAAACACCTCCAAAAATAACACACCGACTTCAAGACCCAATGGCCCAGCCTTTGGGCGGGGCTTAGCAAAGGCCCAATTGTTGTGTATTGTTTCATGATTAGCACATTTGCTCAAATCCGTCTCAGATTGTTGGAAGCATGAGCTTAAACACCTCCAAATCGTCCCTCCGGACTATCACAATAGAAGTGTTATTCTGTGTCTTAATCTGGTGCCAATATGCGGCACAGAATGTGCCCTTCTGGGTTCTTATCAGCAGCCATTACTTTGGCTGAATGCGAGCAATTCAAAGATAAAATAGACTGTAACCCTCCCAAATTGCTGGCGGACTGGATCCTGGTCGCACGGATAACTCGAACCTCGTTAGTACACAGGAGACCTGTGATAGCTGATGAGGGACAGATTGACTTGCAGTAGAGACGGTGTGATGGACGGATGTGAGGGAGATATCGGTGTCTATCTGGACAGGGTTGCCAAGACAAGCGTGTATTCACCTCTACGAAGCCACATCTGACACTTTTGGACACACTTCTTTTCTGTCTGCTTGTCGGAGACATTATTTCCTCACAGACAGCTATGTCAGCCGTGGTCTTTGGGAAGTCTTTGATAAAGCTGCGACTTGATTATCAGTACATCTAATTGACCTTCGACCCCTGAAGGGGTCGTGTGGTCGTACAGATGAAGTGTAGCTGTGGGCCGGTCTTTTGTTTTGTTCTGTCTAAACATGAAAAACCCACTCGATCACTTAGTGAACAGACTTCACTCACTGGTTCTGTGTTTGCGTGCAGCCCTGGTTGTGTAACATGCCTCCTAACTGTCTATTTGGGTTGACAGGCCGACACACACACACACACACAGTCAGCACCATTTCCACATGCAGCCACAGATCCTCCAGTCTCAGTCACCCTGATATGTGCTGTTCTGTCTCCAAGTGGAGGAAAATCATGTCACACCACTGAAGCATAACATCAGCTGTGACATTCTGCAGTGCTTACATACGCCTGGTAGAGCTCGACGAGAGCTCTCTCTCTCTGTCAAATGTGGCTCACATTTGATTTACCGAATGACATTTTCCAGAAAGAATCATAGAAGTGCCTCACATTTTATTTCTGGTCCCTTGGCCGCTGGCAAATGAAGTTGACGTTTTTCTGCTGCTGGGTGGATCAGTCGAGAGATTTGATGATATTCGACATGAAAATAAAGGGACGTGAGAACATTATCTATCAAGAATTCTTCCTGATTCGCTACGGCAGGGAAGTAAACACTCAGACAGATTTAGTGTTGTTTGGTCGTACTTTGCCGATAAAGAGCCAGTCTTCATTCATCCCTTACTTTGGTGTATCCTAGTGGTGGTATCACCAAACATACAGTTACTAGCTTTTATTACTTTGGAGCTACAAACGCTGAACACAGTGAGACTTTTTATGTGTGTTTGTAATTGACCCTTTGCTAAGTCACGCCACTTAAACGTAGACTAGCCAATCATAGCGTAGCATCGGCCGGCTCTGACCCGGTTTGAAAACTATCCGGCCGTGCGCCATAGACTCTCATGCAATCAGTGCAGATTTCCTTCATTTTCAGGCTGGTTTTGTGGATTTTGGAGCTAGTCGTGGTTAAACGTTGCATAATAGGGATACTCCTGTGGAGCTACCATTAGCAGACAGATACTGAAGGTACACTGGATGTACGCTGCTTTTGCTTTGTAATGATTAACGGTGAATAAAGACCGACCCGGCCTTCCTGGAAGAGTGTTGTTCCTTAATTTCGTTGTCTTCTGTCTCGCTCCCCCAGGTGATTGTTCACTTTCACACAGTGATCTCTAGGTCTTTTTGTTTTCAAACCTGTTTCCCCTGCTGAATAATTTTTGACATCCTGGATATATCCTTCAAACACACATTGTAGACCTTTCTGTCTTTTTTAGTTTTTCCCAAAAATTTGATCATATTCATCAGGGAGTGCAGTTACTGACAGTGTGGGCTCCATGGCACTTAGCAAAGTGCTCTGTTGGCATCCGGAGTCATTGCAGGCGACATGTGAGGCGGTTGTTAAATGACACAGAGTCTCTATCAGGTGATAATTGAACAGTAGCAGGTAGTGGAGATACTTCATTTCATCCTTTTTACAGCTCATCGGTCTCTGCAAAGATGCCTTGACGAGCGGTGCAGAATATGTTTTCACGAGTCTAGATTATTTAGCTTTTCCCCGTTCAAATAGTGTTTCCCTCCCATTAGATGCCTCCTCGGTTGGCGTCGGGGCTTAGTAGGGTTCTGGTTGGGTGCAGCAGAAATAATCGTTTGGTTAATGGTAATTTAGGATTCAGTGAAACATCTCTGAAGATGACGTGTTGGGTTAGGGTGTGTTTGTTTCAGTGAATTTGTTTAGTAAGCTTTTGATTCTCTGGAAGTGTTTCTGCAACTGCAAGAGTATGCTTTTACTCAAGTATATGTCTTATTTCTTTCCTTCCCAAATCTGGCAGTGCGTCTCTTGCTTGTTAGATAACGTGAGTGAGTTCAGCCTCCTCTGTGCACCTTTCATCCATCCCCCGTACGTCTGTACGGCGTGGCTCAGCTGCAGACTGTCGGGAGACGGAAGATGATTGAAGGCAGGAGAGCGGAGAGGAGACAAAGATTAGAGGAAGCAGAAAAAGGATGAAACACAAGTACAAGAGAGGAGGTGGCACAGGTGGATACAAGATAGTTTGTCTGGCGTATAGAGGAGAAAACTGAAGAAATGGAAGATGGGTTTTAGCAGCGAGGAGAAGGGAAAGCCTCGTAGGCTAATGGATACTGACAGGAAGGGGGGGGGTTGGGTTAGCAGCAGCAGCAGCAGTAGTCGTCGGTCGGGTCACGGTCCATGAAACACACATCTATCATCAGACCTCAGCGCAGTGTTCCAAATCCCACTAATGATTCGTCGTCTTCAGACGCAGCATGAAACCCAGCTTCCTGCTTCCTCTGTGTGTCTCTCCGTTGCCCAGACCTCTGGGGGTTATAATACAGTACTCATTGTAACCGATGGAGACTTGACAGTTCTTCAGGAAATACATGCAAATGAGGCATTCAGTACACGACGTCCACGCATAATTCCAACCCTACTAGTGTTGAGCAGAATTAAGTGAGTTATTGGTGAGGTGATGAGCTTTCCGAGCCAGTGCTGTGGCGCTGATGGATGGACGGATCTACAGTACATCATGCAGTTCCTCTGCGTTTCATTGGCTGTTGATGCTGGTACCAGGCAGGCAGCTCAGCTTCTTTTGCCGATCAGGAAGCATACAATATATTTATATAAAAATCTCTACATTTTTCTCGTTCAGTGTGGATGTTTTTTGGCCGCTGGAAGGAAAAGTGTGAAGTGACAACCTCCTCCTTCCCTCTACGCACTGCAGGTCTTGAGAGGACAGCCCCACTTGGACGCCCAGTCATTGCGTTCGTCCAAGGTTTCACCATGAACCGGAACAAGCGCGAGAAGGAGTACTACAGCATCGATGTGGGCGACTCGACTTTCATGGTTATAAAGCGCTACCAGAACCTCAGGCCCATCGGATCCGGAGCACAGGGAATTGTCTGGTAAGTCAAAGTACAAAAAGGTCCACTTAAACAGCATTTTATATTTTCAACTGCATGTGATCAGTGACTGTGTGTTTGCTGAGTGGTCGTGAAGATGGTCCCTTACTCGGGTCACATGGGAACTAACTGACTTGCTAAAATAGGTCAACTCTGAGAGACGTGGCTTTAAGCCCTGAAAAAAAGTAAGTGGACCTTGAGTTAAGATTATTGTTTTTGTCTCTTTTGTTTGTTTTTTGTTTATTCATATTTAATTTTAGGAACTTGGCATAAATATAAAAAAATGGTGGATGCCAAACCTGACCCACTAATTTTCGAAACAGAGTTTAATCTAAAATCAATGTCTTGGTCTTTTCACATCTTACTTTCTGACCTCTCTTTGAACTACAGGAGCATTTTTATGAAAGCTGAAAACATGATTAGAAATGAATCGAGGAGTGAATATTTCTACCACCGTATGTATGGCGTGTCTTGTCAGCCATGTGGACGAGGTGTCTAAAAATCCATTTATCTGTCAGAAAGGGGAAAAACCTTCAGGTGAGCGAACATTTGATGGAAGTTATCGATGCAGCGCTCGGTCTTTGCGGCTTTGAAAGTTGATGAGATCAGATTTTCATAATATTAGCATGAGTTGCATTCAGCACAGACATGGATGCAGAATGTAGTATCTGCTGACTGTGCAGTGTGAGTTTCTGTAGACGTGAGCGGACTAAAGGAAAGGTGGGCGTTTGTATCTGAACTTGAGGATCTCTCAGGTCCACGTCGCAGTTAGTGATGGTGTTGTTTACATATACTGTTTGGCTGTTTGTTTACAATACTTTGGAACATCATTTTTGAGCCCATCTTGTGAATTAACAACAGTCCTGTACATGTTAGCAAACGTGTTAGATGTGTGTGAAAGAGGTTACTTGTCGTGATGAACCCACAGGTTATTGTCATCTGCCTTTATGACCAACTCCACTGTAAACTGTACACAGTAACAAACAGACCCAGTTAGCGACTTTGTGGTGAACACAGCGGAGCGTTTAGCAGCTCCAGAGATGTTTCCATCAGAGGAAACTGAACTAAAGGGAGAGTAAATATTGGACTTTTGTTAATGTGCTGTCATGTTGAACCAGCTACCGAACAAATGAAGTGTCTGTGTGTAAAGAGTGTCTCTGAGGTCCTCTGGGAAGTGCTACAAAGAAATCAACATTTTTCAGCGAGTTCTTGCTTTCATTTCTTCACCTCAGTTCGGCGTACGACCACAACTTTGAGAGGAACGTCGCCATCAAGAAGCTGAGCCGGCCGTTTCAGAACCAGACCCACGCCAAGCGGGCCTACAGGGAGCTGGTGCTGATGAAATGTGTCAACCACAAGAACGTAAGAGCTCGAGTTCTCTCCACATGTTCTGTTTTGCATGTTTTAATGTTCCTGTATATCTATTTCAACATCAGGGATGAGCTGTGACACCTGAACCGTTTAGTGTTGTCGTCTGGTTCCAATGGAGACGGGCTCACATCTGGGTTTAAATGCACAGGGTTGTCTCACAGTTTAGATTAGTCGAGATGAAATGTGATGAACAGAAGCCCTGAGGCTCAAATCAGTTTGAACATCATTCTTGTCCTCATGCATCCATTTAAATTGTGCCGTATTTCCAACCACCTCACTCCCCTCGTTTGGTTGACGGATCACAACACCGCTCCTCGCTGCTGCTGCTTTGTTATGTACTATTTTAATTTGGGGAATGTCCTGTTATGGTTCATCATCGATGCTCAGGCGGCTGCTGTCACTACCTCAGTTGTTCCTCCTTCCTGGTTCAGAGGTGCAGAGGACCTTCGTCTCCTCTCCGGACTTGCAGATCAATAACTGCTTTTTTTTCTTCTTCTTCATTTTGACAGATAATCGGCCTATTAAATGTATTCACACCACAGAAGACACTGGAAGAATTCCAAGACGTGTGAGTACTACACAGCCCAAGTAACATCTGCTCACTGAGTGTTTGTAACATCAGCACAGGAGGTGGCGTGCTGGGGGCTTAGATTACCTTTCTTTGACTTTTAGGGGCTTGTGCAGCTTAGCTGGATCTCTGGTTTGTGTGTTATACTGCCTCACTATAAGCACAATTATAATTACTGTAAATGGACATGTTTAATATCAGGACACGTCCGACACACTGTGGATTAACAGGTGTTTTATCTTAAAATAACTGTAAACATTGACTTAAGTCACAAAGAAATAATTGATATCACGGGTCTATTATAACTCAAATCTGTTATGACACACGATCTAACAAATACTGGTCCAGGAGTGCAGCTTCTGCAATCTGTTTCATTCCTTTGTCAACTCCAACTTGTATACGTTCTACATAGCGCCTTCAATGAGATGAACATTGGGGCATGTGAGAGGAAACTGGCTGTGAAATCTCAGAGAGGGGAATACTAAGCTGAGATCTGGGGAGCGAAGTGATGGTTATGCGCTGTATGAAGGGAACAAACATGATTAATGCCGTGCGTGCGTGCGTGCGTGCGTGCGCTGCGTCTGCCTGATTGGAGCTAAAAAGGAAACTGGGCAAATCCTAGCCGGAGGGCTGCGTGGCAAACACACAGTTGGAGGATGACACTCCATTTGGCCGTGTGTTTGTGTACCTGAATGCATACTTGCATTACAGAGTGCCTGATACAAAAGGATAATATACAAAATATGGATTCCCCAGTATGTGTGCACAGGCACTTACTCTCCTCCTTGCACACTTTGACAGTGTATTATACCCATTTTCAGTTCCTGACTCATTGTATTCAGACATGGAGTATGCAGAAGTCCTTCATTTGGTGCAGCCGCACGCTCCGTCACCAAGATGTTTCTTTGTGTACAACAATCTGTCAGAAGGTCCTTGCTTCAAGTAGGAGGATTGTAGGGGCCGATGATGTAACAGCTGCCAGATAGCATAGCATCATCACAGTTTTTAGAAGTAGAGCCATTACTGTCACTTCCTAAATGTCACAGTTAGTGCTGCCTGGGGAAGGAAAGAAGAGTTCACAATGTAGCTTTTAGACTTTGCATGTGTTTTTTCCCCGGCTATCTTGAAACGAATGAAATAAAAAAATCTATGTATGGTAACATTTTAGTAAAATGTCCCGAATTCTTTCTGAGGAAAAAAAAGGAAAGCAATGCCAAATGTCCAAAAAACTGAAAATCATTCTCAATCATCTAGTTTTTAACCGTAAACCGTCCAACCGCTCTGACCCTATTACATTTCTAATGTGTTTTAGTAGAATCACAGTGTCGCATAAGTCCTAAAAATATGCTACATCCATGTGCCATAATCAAAGTATATTGTAAAACTCCAGGTGAAGTCAGCACATGAAAACTCGTGCATACATCCCTGCCTGTGTGTGTGTGTGTGTCTGTGTGTCTGTCTCTACGGGATTGCTTCACCCTCTCCATTTCCCCTGCAGGTATCTAGTGATGGAGCTGATGGATGCCAACCTCTGCCAGGTGATTCAGATGGAGCTGGACCACGAGAGGCTGTCCTACCTGCTCTACCAGATGCTGTGTGGAATCAAACACCTGCACGCTGCCGGCATCATACACAGGGTGAGGCGCGCTGATGAGACACGCACGGGCAACAACCTCTGCTCGTTGTCTAACCACCTCCGCGGTGACGATTAGACGGTCACATCGTTGCGCTCATCACTCTGACACAGCTCCAGGGAGTCATATTGTTGTCGGGATGACAACACCGTACATTTAGGATGTGTTTCAGTTGTGTTACAGTGTCGCATAAAGTCATAACATCTCATTTAACTTCCATTTATTGGTACCGGATCACAAGTTGTTAGGCAGCGGAGATAATGTACAGGTTGCAGTATGACACACGCACACACGCACACACACACACATGCAGAATATACTCAGGTGCTTGTTCACTTTGAAACAACAGAAAACAGGATGACACACGCTCGCACACCCTGAAGCACTAGCAGCAGCGCACAAAGGATCCCTCTTGTATGCGCAGTCACGCACATGTTTACGCACACACTCTTGTGGCACTCTGTCAATCATCTTCGGTGGAAGACGCAGCAGTAGAGTAGCAGAGCTCCTCTTGCTCTGCCAGCCAGAACTAATTGAGCCAAAGGCGGAGCTAAGCAGCCGCGCTGGCATCAGCACGCAGAGCTCTCATAAGGTGAGCGGAAGCGATGTGAGTCACGGATCGCCAGAGATTCAGATCTCTTGTTCTCGTGGGCTTTGTCTCTGCAACGAGAGCTCTCGAGTCCTTTTTTGATTTTTTTTTCCTACGAGGCAGTCAAGCTCAATCCACCGAGCTCCAGCACTACAGCATGAGGTCTCATTGTGAAGAAGTGAGACATTTGTCATTGCTTGTGATGCCGTTAAGATTTCCTGGAGTTAGTGTTGTGTTGTTTGCTGGTGAGCTGCCCCCTGGGTATTTTTGTGCACTTCAGTGGCAGGTGTCGCAGCAGTCTGTGCATACTTTCTCCAAACCAAGAAGTGATTACGATAGAGAAACCACAGATTAAGTATCCGATCTGTTGCTATCATAAATCGTGCTGAACGCCAACTAGTCAACCGGAAACTGTCGTGGCTGGAGGGCACTGAGTTTTGTTTATGACGTTATGATGTTCCTGAAAATGACGAGAGATGTCCTCTCTGCTCCTTCTCCTGCTGAGTTTTATGTCGGTTGGCATCCATAAGTGTTGCATTATCGCCATTTGCCAGACTATCTCTTGCCCCTTCTATACCGCCATTGGCATGGTATGTGTGGAAAAATGCGCAAGACGGAAATGTTCCTGAATGTGGCGCATGTGTGAGCAGTGACGATCACTAGGGGGCGCCTGAAAGGTTATTCCAGTAACTCATCTGGGAACTATGTTTGAAAGAGGCTCTAGAGTTCGTCTTACTTCTTGGTGGAGTTTAGGCTGACGAAGCAGTGCAGAACATGATGCAGCAACTGATAGGAGAGCACTGGACTCAGGGAACAGTTCGATAAGGATCAAATATAAATAATATGATAAAGAACAGCTTTTTAGCAGAATGCCACCATATCCTACAACTGTGCCACCTCGGTCTAAATCCGGCTCCTAACCCTCTCCGTGTTGCGTTGTCCGTACAGGACCTGAAGCCCAGCAACATCGTGGTGAAGTCTGACTGCACACTGAAGATCCTGGACTTTGGCCTGGCCCGGACGGCCGCCACCGGCCTCCTCATGACGCCCTACGTGGTCACCCGCTACTACCGCGCCCCCGAGGTCATCCTGGGCATGGGCTACCAGGCCAATGGTGAGTGGAGGAAAGAGGCTTCTTTGACACCAACCGGCCAGTGAGGAGCTCCTAAGCTGCTGCATGCCCCCCCCACCCCACCCCTGGATGTTTTTCAGCACCTCCCAAACACACACTCTCCCTGTTCCTGTAAAGGTCACACTCAGTGGTGGGGGAGGAGTTGGCATGTTGGGCATCGGTGCTTTGTGGGGAACTTCCTGTCTGGGGACTCCAGTTCCCAGCAGTGCTTTAGCATGCTTTTGATGTTTTATTAAGAGGTTGTCTGTCCTGAGCTCCGTACAGCCTGGCTAAAAACAGGGTCTTGTACATGCGTCAGCAATTTCTCTCGGTGCTCCTGCTTGGGACGTATCGCAGTTCCTGCAAGACTGTTAAAGGAGTAGTTTAACATTTTGATAAATATGCTTATTGGCCATGTGCTTGCTTGAAAGATTGGTACCACTCTCGTATATCTGTTTGTTAGAGCCAGGAGACCGTTAGCTAAAGGGAAAGAGCAAGCCCAGCTCAGTCCAAAGGAAATCTAAAGCTCACGAATTAATAACACCATCTTGTTTCTTTAATCTGTACAAAAAGCAGGATTGTGGTCTTTCAGGGGTTATGTGCTGGACTCTGTCTTTGCGGAGGACTGGGAAATATAATGTGCATTAGTGAGCTAGTGGTCAGACTATTCTACCCTTGGACAGAGCTATGCTAGCTGTTTAACCCTGTTGTCAGACTTTATGCTAAGCTAAGCTAACTGCCTCCTGGTTCTAGCTTCATATTTAGCGTACGGACGCGAGAGTGGTGTCGACCTTCCCATCTTATTGTCGGCAAGAAAGCAAGTGTTTTTCCCCAAATGTTGAAACATTCCCGTGATAGAGACGTGTAGTAATTAGACCTTTCGGTATAAAGTCAGATACATAATAGTCAGTTCAGCTAATCTCGATTTTTGCATTTTCAAACAACTCTGAGAATAAAATGTTCCCTTTTGTCCAGACGTCATGAGGTGGATACATAACGATGATGCTCCTGTTGTAACAAAACTCTGGAGAATCTTGCTAAATGTTACTTCTCTCTCATCCTTTGTCCTCAAACATTGACCCTAATTTCCTGCTGACTTGTTTCATTCTTTTGCTTAATCTCTTCTCCCTCCTTTTTACGCTGCGCACACATAGTGGATATTTGGGCTGTGGGCTGCATTATGGCAGAAATGGTTCGCCACAAAATCCTTTTTCCAGGAAGGGATTGTATCCTTGAGCTGCTTGCAGCGGTGTCTGGCTTTTCCTCCAGGAACAGAACGTAGCACGCAGACGTCTCTTTGTCTCTCAGAAGCATTTCTTCCCTCCCCGAACGGATCACACGGAGATCACATCCCCGTGAACTGCTGCAGAGATTCTACTTCTCACATTCGACTCCCTCCTCGCTCACCTTTTTAAGCTTCAAGCACCGTGCCGGTCGCATGAAAGAGCTGAAATAGAATGGAATGGTTTGCTCTCCCTCGTCTATCCTCAGTCTGTCTCTTATTGAGGCCGTAGCAGCCGTGCACACAACGAGATGACCACAACATAATGCTGAATAAAGTGGTGTTCTGTAAGACGTGCAGCATGGATTGCACTGAGGATGCTGAGGGTGTTGAAACACTTTCAGTAGACCTTGACAGCCAGTGTCTCACTTAAAGGGCTCATGAATCTGCTGTTCTTTGATTAGTTCTTTAAAAGACTTGCAGTATGTACAGGTTATGCTTTCCCTCAGCATTGTGGGACGCTGAGCCAGGTTTAAGAGTGCACTCAACTGCATGCAACTCATTTTTTTTTTTGTCATGTATCACACACATCACCTGGCACCACACCACATGTTTTAATGTTCCCATTTTGGTCTTTTTTTTTTATGTTGTTTTTTTTCCCTGTTTTGTTCTCCAGTCCTGCATGCTAAATAGGTGGTTGTCATTTCATTTTTTCAGTTGATGTCTGGTCTGTTGGCTGCATCATGGCTGAAATGGTCCGGGGTAGTGTGTTGTTTCCAGGCACCGATCGTATCCTTAAGTTGAACCTCCATCCAAAAACCCCCCAAAATGCCGCCTCGTCTCTCATCCTTTCTGTCTGACATCTTGTTCATATCTTCTCACACAAGCTGCCAGGCGTCTGTGCCGGTTTGTGCTGTCACAGGTTACGTTGCATTAGGGAGCTAATAGTCTCTTAGTATTCTAATATACCGGTTGACTTTAGTTAGCTACGGCTAGCATTAGCTGGACAAACAAAGCTTCATATTGGGGTTTTGCACTTTGCTTGCTCTGTAGAGACATAGGTGACATTGACAGAGATGGAACCCAAACAGAGCAGCATCTATTATAGCTCTATACTATTTAACTAACATGACAAAAGCAGCTGACGTACCAAGCCTTTCTAACCTTGGTTTCCAGGGTGCTGTGGTTTTTAGTCCAAAATGGAGCCTCAGTGGGACAACTACAAAATATATGAAAACGTTTTTTGTTTGCACAAGCAGCCAGTGTGATTTGAATAAGACTTCGTTATTATATTCTATGAGTGAACTGAAGACTTAAGTAAGGTATCAAATCAGCTGCAGTTTCCTTTATTGAGAGGTCCAACAGTAACTTCTGCCTCCATACATCTTTGGATCTGTAGCATTATAGAGTTTGTTGATCATTTGAGAGCCTCTTCCATATGTTTAGCCAGAATTCAATACACAGGATTCGATCAGTTCGACAACAGTCGAACTGATTTGGTTTGACCAATATACCTGCGTCTCTTCATGGAGGTAGTGGTTCACCTTGGAAGGATGAGCAAAGTTGTGAACAAGGCATGTCCGTATGTGTCGATGTGTCTGATGTTACATCTGTATGTAAATGTGTGTTTCTGTTCTCAAGAAAAAAAAGAGTTGCATCCTTATTAGCAGGGATGGTCTGAGGTGAGCATCACCTGTCTCACCTCACGTGCACGGTGTGCGTGCCCCAGTCCGTCCTCCTCAGGTTTGAATTGGATTCCACCAGCCTTCTGAGTACAAACCGTTGCAGTTGCACAAGTATTTTAGGAGCTTATCTAAGATAGAACGACGCAGTATGAGACCTAGCGGCTCCATATGGCTCTTTAATTATTCATCAGTTCATAATGCTACTCGGAAAAGGACCCACCCCAACTCTGGCATTGCCAAACCGCCAGCCCGGTGCTCTCCTTAACACTGAAACCTTTAAGATATCGACCAGTGGAACAAGGTGATCGAGCAGCTGGGGACGCCGTCTCAGGAGTTCCTGATGAAGCTCAACCAGTCGGTCAGGACCTACGTGGAGAACCGGCCCCGGTATGCCGGCTACACCTTCGAGAAGCTCTTCCCCGACGTCCTGTTCCCCGCAGACTCCGAACACAACAAACTGAAAGGTAATAGTCTGTTGTCTCTCCCTGTATGACCGTGGAACCGTCTTGTGAAGGCTTACTGGAAGCACGAGACAGATAAACTGGTGCGAGGTTGTTAACCCAGTGCCTGCTAAGAGTTTCCTCTACCTCAGGTGCAGCAGTTGTCCAGCCTGAAGGGAAACCATTTGTGAAATGTAAAGTGCGTTTTTATCACATCCCAGAAGGCGTGATGAATGAGGCAATCAATGTTTCCGGAGTGCTTCATGCCTCCATATGCTTCCGTTTCACTCCTTCAAATTTGAACAAAAGGCTTTCTAAAGCTGGGGCCTCGTTTTACTGATGTATAATTCATCACGGGTGACTTCTTAAATGGCTTTTTTAAATTTTTTTTGTAATTGAAGGATTAATATAAAGATTCCCTGGTGACTGTTTTTTAAATTTTTTATCCCATCAAAAATGCTGCAAACCCAAAATATGAACGTTTCCTCCACGCATTCTCCGTTTGCGTTGCGCTCTGTGTTTTCAGAGGCTCCCTTACATTCAGCCCCGATTACAGGAGCCGACGGTAACTCTCTGTTCACTGCAGAGAGGGATTCACCTCCAGTGTGTCTCCATGTATGAATTGAGGGGAGATGACGGGAACAAGCGCAGTGGAGCTGTTGCAAAGTCTTTTTCTGTCCTCATTCGTTTACAGAGGCAGGAATATGTGACGGTCTAAATGTGACGGTGTGTCCATCACATGTTCTATTTGCTGTTTCTTGTTAAAAGGAAATGTTTAAATCTCTGATTATACAAATATTTGTTTTCATTTGACACAATATATTTATTCCAAAACACACACAGTTGCATACTGTTACAGAATTCTGCTCTGTGAACTCTGAAGGTGAACACCTACCTCAATAGGTGGATGTTAAACCCTCCTTATAGTGCACATACATTATTCTATACATGAAGCTCAAACAACACAATCAAGTTACAATAATCACAACTCTTTTGAATGGCCCTCCTTACATTGTGTCCAGCTCCACCGTCCTGTTAGAGCAGACCATGCATCACATTAGCAGGACGCTCTGAAACAGAAGACTGTTCAGAATGGAAATCAAGTCTTTTAAAGTTTTAACAATTTTCTCCTTTTTTCTGCCCCGATTTCTTTTCAGCGAGTCAAGCCCGGGACCTCCTATCCAAGATGCTGGTAATAGACGCGTCCAAGCGGATCTCGGTGGACGTGGCGCTGCAGCACCCGTATATCAACGTGTGGTACGACCCGACTGAAGTGGAGGCGGTAAGTACTCCCTAAATAAACGACACAAAAGTTTTATTAAACAAAACATTCTTATTTATCAAGTGAATTGTTTCTAACCACAAGTAAATATGTAGAAACGTGGCATAGCTTCTAAATCCATGAATCCACTCCCGTCTAAGGACTACAAGCTGTTAAACTCCATTTCCTCTTTGCTGAAAACGACACAATGACTCAGCAAATAGATTTTTGGGAGATGAGGCAAATTGCTGCCTCTCTGGCACGAAAAGCGCTCGTCAGGACAGACAGCTCAGCCTCGGAAAAGTTCAGATTTTCGCACAGCTCTTTGCTCTGACACTGAGTAAGGGAATCAAATCCCCCCCCCCCCCCCCACGGCTGGCTTTGAGCTGGTTTCATTCCAACAACGTAGTTTGTCGTATTTCCCCTGGAAAAGGGCCGAGCACGCCAAAGCAGGAACACGTCAGCATTAAGTGTGTTTAATGTGAGGGGAGATTTAGCGCTACAGTTTTCTATCTTGTGCCTCCAGTTAGCTGAGTCTGCAGGTTCTTAGTTTCAGAGCTACTGCAGCTGAGTTCCCCCTCTCCTGTTTTGCGAGGCATTCACCTGCTGTAGGGTTGTGGTCAAGCTCACTGAAAACCTCAGGCCTGGTAGTTACACATACCTAGAAGCTCAAAGGCTTCCAGTCCTGTGGATGGCAGTATCAGCAATTAGTGGAAGGGTCAGGCAAACCAAAATCCATTTGAGTCTGACCGTCATTTACCGGAGTATTGTGTGTGTGTGTGTGTGTGTGTGTGTGTGTGTGTGTGTGTGTGTGTGTGTGTGTGTGTGGAGCTGTCGCTCGTATGTTAAGAAGACTGAAATACAGCAAACACGTGTCTGTCTTTGTTTCCAGCCGCCGCCCGCCATCACAGACAAGCAGCTGGATGAGAGAGAGCACACAGTGGACGAGTGGAAAGGTAGGAACCATCCTCTGCTTCTCTCCTCTGCTCTTTGAAAAGCCCACACGAGTGCTTTAGCCTCTCACGGCGTGTTGCGTAAGGCCAGTTTTTTTTTTTCTGATACGCGATCCTAATAAACTGCAAAATGTCTCATGCACATGTTGCATAGGTGTTCTGCTGTTTGTCTTCCCCCCCCCCCCCCCCCTGCTGGGAATTAGATTATCTGCATCCAAATCTATGTTATTGTGTAAAATCCAAATGTACGCTATAAAGTCTCAATCTGTGGTTTTTAGCTGTGATGACGCCACCAAAGACAACGTCGAAATTTGCAGATTATGCCCAAATTCCAGGTAGCATACGTGGATAGGGGGCCAGGGCTTGATTTAAGATGACTGATGAAGTTTTTGGGCCACATGATAGGATTTTAAATGTCGTTTTTTTTTTTTCTCCAAGCTCTGTAAGATACTTAACTTGTTATAAAGAGCTGTGATGTGAGAGTTATTTTGATTACAAATGATGTAACTCAAATGCCATATGTGAATGGAAATGACAGCAGACCAATGATTGGCTCCTGGGAAACACCACAGGAAAGTGGGGCAGAGCATTTAAACCTCCTCTTCCTCTTCCTCCTCCTCAGTGCAGACGGAGTGATAATGACGGCAGAAGCTTCACACCTGTAGCGCGACATGTTGGTGTTTCCTCATCTCAGCCGGGGGATGTTTCATTTCCTCTTTCTTTCTTTAGAAATAGATTATCATGTAAAAGTCCCCATCTTTGTGTTTCACCAGGTGAGACACAAACTGTAGGGAAGTAACACCAGATCAAACAGGATCAAAATACAGAACAAAATGGTGACGAGTAGCACAGAATTGTACTTAAAAATCCAGAAAAGGCCTGCATGGTGAAATGAGTGAACCGCACACTGCCTCCCTCTCCCCTCCTTACTGTGATCACTCAATGTGTCCTGTTTGTTGCAGAGTTTATATACAAAGAAGTGCTGGACTGGGAAGAAAGGACGAAGAATGGCGTCATCAGGGGACCGCCAGCATCCATAGGTTAGTGGAGTTTCTCGTGTGTGTGTGTGTGTGTGTGTGTGTGTGTGTGTTTAGATCAAATCCTGATGAGCAGGTGGCTTATCAGCAGCCTGTGCTGCGTGTTCTCTTTCAACCGGCTGACCCCGGGCCTTCTCCTGTGTCTCACAGCACAGGTGCAACAGTGAGCAGCAGCACCGCACCTCCACGTCCTCCTCCGTCAACGACGTCTCCTCCATGTCCACCGACCCGACCCTGACCGACACCGACAGCAGCCTGGGAGGCGGCAACCGCCGCTGCTGCTCCAGATGACTATCATCTACACCTCCTCTTGGTCCTGGTCTGGGCCTCGCCCCCCTGGTCACATCTAAGACCAACCCACTTGCCCAACACTGGCTCCTGGCCCCCC